GTCTGATCACAAAAATAGAGTTGAGAGATTGTATTTCTCAGTTCCTTGAACTTGAGTCATTTTATTCAGGCGAGGCCTCATGGAAGATGATGCTGAGCCCATCTTCGAGGACGTGATGATGTCCTCACGCGGTCAGCTAGAGGACATGAACGAGGAATTCGAGGATACCATGGTGATAGATCTGGTAAGAATTTACAGATGTGTGCTGAGCTCCATTCTGAGTTCTTAAGTGTATTTGTAATGTGTCTGGAGACGGACAAAACTACGTTTCATATTACAACATCTGGTCATCTGTTAGATTAGATCTTTGGGGTCATTTTTGCTCTCTTGTTCGTTCTACGTTTTAGCCGGCGTCGAGAAACCGCAGAGAAAGAGCTGAACTCAGACCGGACTTTTTTGACTCTACGGCCATAATGGAAGATGATTCTGTAAGTGTACCTCAGATATTGATATGTAAAAATGTCAACTTGTTTTGTAGGATAACTAAATTAGGCATGTCAGGGTGGCATTTTAAATTTTATTCAGCGAGAAAGTACTAATTGATTTATCTTTACTTCTTTTTCTAACAGGGATTCGGAATGCAGATGTTTTGAGAAAGATTTCAGCCTCTGTGGGTGATCACAACCAGCAACCAACAAGAATCACATCTTAAACGTTTCTATTGTTTTTTTAATAGCAGTTTCACACAACTGTACGCAAGCATGTGAGCTTCCTCTCTTAGTTTTGTGGTTGGCCATAATCCCATTGTGAGCCTTTCCTGTCAGTCAGCATTTCCTCAGTTCATAAGGACCAAGCGAGCCTGTAAAAGCTGTTATCTGCTGGTCTTACAATGGTGTTACGATCACAGCAACATCTCAGCAGTATCAGTTCCTATTTTTCATATCATCCATTGATTTCTTAGAGCAAATGTGGTTTAATCGGACGTTGTTCGGACAGACGTTTTGTTACTCCACTGCTTTCTAGCTATTTTAAGACTATCGCCCGTTCATGTTCTGGTTTTGTTCAGGGTGAAATTTAGACAGGAACATGTTAAGGTCGTGATCATTTTCTTTTCAAGTCTGTCCAGAAGTATTATTGGCCTTAAAAATGTATTATTGCTTGAATTTGGTGTTAGATTACTTGATTTACCAGATTAATAATAGAAAAGCCCACGTTTCTTTCAAATTAAAAAGGTTCAAATATATGAGGATATTTGAGGAGGAAGTACACCGAAGTATTCATTACTTCAGACACTGGTAATGTGTTTTATACAAACCTTTTGTTGAAGAACTTGTTTCTTCCATGTTTACCTCCTCTGTTTAGAGTCTGCTCAGTGATTTACCTTTTTTACTGTGCGTTTGTGGAAACATTGTAGCTTTCACACAATACTGTATTGCTGTGAACATTTATTGATCGTTTATTGGGCTTTTAGGTCCATCTGAATATCCACAGAGCAGGTTTTGATAAGACCTGTGTGGTATTGATGAGTGATGTCAGAACCCTTGTTTAGACCGGTGCTTTTAGATACAGACTCCGATCAAACAGTGGTATTGTCATTTATTTTAACCTTTTCACTGTTAAAACTTTGCTTTTTTTTTAAAAAAAAAAACATGTTTAAATAAAAGTATTTAAAAGTAGTCTAGTACTTTCAAAAGTATTTTGTGAAACCTACCGAATTCTTTTCTAATACACATTAATTGTTTGTACATACAAGATTTGTTTTGAATTTTACTACATAAAAATAACATTCTCTTCAAGCTCCTCAAAATATGAAGAGTTTTAGAGACACAGGAAGGGAACAGTAAGGATTGTGTCAACAAACATTGGTTTTATTGGGTAACTGGCTTCCAGCCAACATAATTAAACTGAGGCAGTTTCAAGATAGAGATATTACCAGTGCTACACTACGTTTTAATTAACTCTTTCCCCACCAGCGTTTTTGAAAAAAGTTGCCAGCCTGTACCAACATTTTTTTTTTTTTTACCAACAAGTTTCATGGCCCCCAGAATATTTTGTTGTATGAATATCTGAACATGCAAGATATAAAAAGAAAGAACAGACCCTCTGCTTTTGAACAAACAAACAAAACTTTTTATTCTAGCTTCTTGCATTTTTTTTATTTTATTTTTTATCAAAACTTGAAAGTGGGTGAGCTTCATAAAAAAGACACATTTTGAGCAAAAAGCTGAGAAAATCGCACTTTTGTCCAAGACTACGTGTGGATCGGATTCAGAACATTGGTCAAAACATAGATGGAGTAGGTCGAGTCCATCAACACCCCTAAGCTCGTCCTGGGTCAACATTTCATTTGGTAACGTTTGGCAGTTTTGATTTATATGCTCCTTGATGATCACGTTATTTTACAAATACATGCTTATATATACTATCGCTTGTTTCTGCTTATTTTTCACCTGTGTTTTGATCAGGAGATTCGGTACTCTTTCAGAAGATGCGTAATTGCGCACCCTACCATATAACTGAAAACGGAAAGCCGATGTGAAGCGTTGTCTCATAAATGACAAAATTGCGCCAATGCTGGGGAAAGAGTTAATAAAGATGCACTGTTTTTTTTTTTTGAGAACTACAAAAGTTATGTAATGAGTGAGTACATCATGAATCCATCTTCCAAACCGTGTTTTTGTGTCTTACGACTCACTACAGTACGCCTATAATAAGTGTTTATATTCAGACTATTTTAGCCCAAGCGGGACACCAACCACTGCAGAGTATCCCCGGCTACAGTGTTCTTCCGAAAAACGCATAAAGTTTTGTTTAACCACTAAAGCGCCAAACGTTATAGTGTACCTTTAAAGGTTGGGTAGGCAATTTCGGAGCGTCTAGCAATAGCAAGCTAGGTTTGAAAGCATAAGATCCCACCTTCACTTCAGAGTGTTCTCCAAAGCCACGCCTCCTCCAAAACACATGAACGCACCGGTAAAGTGTCATAAGTGACAGCGTTAAATTACTTCGTCTCAAAGCACATAACATTACAATAATGTGGCTCGGGAGATAAATTGTTGAATTTTTTAACCTTAGAGACCTGAGTTCAAATCCCAGTATTGGGGCAGCTGTGGCCTAATGGTTAGAGAGTCAGACTTGTAACCTGAAGGTTGTGGGTTTGATTCTCAATACTGGCAGGAAATGACTGAGGTCCCTTGCAAAGCACCTAACCCCCAATCGCTCTCTGGGTGCCACAGCAAAAAGTGGCTGCCCACTGCTCCGGGTGTGTGTGTTCACCAAGGACATAACCATGTCTTGAACATTGGGGGAGACCAAGGTTTTTGTTTTGTTTTTTGCGTGGGGGGTATTGGTCTTTTGGTTTATTTAAAGGAATTAAATAATTAAAGAGGATTTAAGAAATAAGAACGGTAAAAGTTCCAGGTCTATTATGAATTGAAATATTTGCAAATACTGATTTTTAAAATATGCACCCATTCATTCTAATTCGTGTGTCTAATATGTAAAAATTCAAAACGTTTCTTGTCACGTCAAATTCAGTTAAATAATGGCATATTTTTAATTTAAAACAGTGATATTTCATAATGTTGTAGTTTGCATCACTGGCGGTGCTGAACGTTTTAATCGTAAAACAGTGGTCAAATATGAAATGTTTAGCTACTTACATCTTACCATGCACTAGTGTTGGAATTCACACTAACAGTTAAGCCACGCCTTCGATTGGCCATCTCACTCATTCTGACAGTGACGAGCGCTGTTAGACCACTGAGGCAGACCAGCCTAAAAATGTAACATTTAAAACTTTTCGTAATCCTAACAACAAACAAATTGGTGCGTAATGAGTTAAATCCAGTGGACAAATTCCAAGTATGGGTTACAATACTTCGCCTTCATATGTCACTTTCACTTTTCACTTTACAACGCTCTAGTTGTACCACCTGACTGTTGCAGATTAATTTCGACGTTGATAGTGTTGACGCATAAATCCGAGTCTGAGGACGTGAACAGCCCTAAGTAGAATGTCACGGGTTGCCGTCTCTAAATTACGGTTTATGACATGCATGGCGTTAAACGCAGCATAAGCTGTTGTTTTGGTTCAGGAGGAACTGTAAAAGGTGGCTCTTGTCATTTGCGGCACTCGGTGACTGTCTGATCATGACGTGTGATGTCTGCGCGAGCAGGGTGCTCGGAGGAATGGAAATGCATACGTTGACAGGCAAGTAAGACAACGTATTATTGCATTCGGACCAGATGCAATGATTGAACACTTTTTGGTCCTGAGACTTCCACAGACGATATAGGTACTTTGTTTAATAATAATAAAAAAAAAAATATATATATATATATATATATATATAGATAGATAGATAGATAGATAGATAGATAGATAGATAGATAGATAGATAGATAGATAGATAGATAGATAGATAGACAACTTCTATGATTGATTGCTATCAGGGTGTGAAGATTTTCAACCAGAACAACAAAGTGTGAGTTTTTTATTACAAATATTTAAAGAAATTAAAAATATATTCTTATTGTTGTTTCTAATAATATTATATATAAATATATTTTAAAGTTTAGTTAAAATAGTCTAATGCCATTGTAATACATTTGTAATAACCTTTTGAACCTGATTAGATAAGCAGTGACGTGCCTTTTATATTTTATTACATTAAAACTTTACTGTAATTAAATTGTCTCGTCTTACAATTCAGAGAGAAAGTGGATAAAATAATTGACTTGTGTGTGTAATATATAATCTGGTAATTTGACTGCTGTTTTAATAATGTGTCTGGATTACTGATTATTTGTTATATTTATTGTTGTTTCTTCTGCCTCTGTTAACCATTGGACATCTTTACTCTTGAGGGGCCACGCCCCACATCACATCGTAACGTTTATGTAACCAAGGGAACCAGTCGCCCACACTAGTTTGAGTTCTCTTCTCGCGAGTTAAACGCGACAGCCTCACAAGCCGGGAAAAGTATCGCGAGATTATCACGGCAGCGTCCCTCTCCCATAGCCGTTCTTTGATATGTTCTCGCGAGATGTGGACAGCAGCGCCCCCTCCTTGTTCTAATGCGGAGAGGAAGGGAGGGGAGAAGCCGTTTCAAATACACATACATTTCAATATCGCTACTGAATATATATCTATACGTTTTTCTCCAAAGAATGATTTGTGCATATGGAGTGGATATTAAATTTGCGTATTTATCACGCTTAACACTTACGACGCACTCAAACGAAAGGAAAACGGCAGGATAAATCCTAAAAAGAAGCGAAGCGGCCTGTTTTTGTTCCTGAGGCGCAGCTCACACTGACATCAAACGGGCACTTAACTCACGGCGCTTTGTTACACCAGACCTGAAATTACTTCGCAAGTAAGCACGGTTAATATCTGGCACCCTAACGCACTGAAAGACTGGGTGCACAAAAAAGCGGCCTGTTTTATTTTTTTGCAGCGGCAGCGCCATGAAGAGCGGCGGACAATAACAAGAGTGACGGTGCTTGTGTGTTACCACTATGATCCGAGGCTAATCACGTATGTGCACGTCAAGAATAATAAATAAACATATGGAATAACACCGCGAATAAGGACTGCATTCATCCAGGATAAGACAAGGAAGCAATCTGCGCTCTGTTTGAATTTGGTGGTAATTGGAGGCCCGGTAGGGTGAAGAGCGCCACCCGTGTGTTGTTGTTGCATTAAAAAAAAAGATGCAAAAAATCGTGCACATGCATCGCTGAATGTGTTTTCAATCGGATCAACGTGAATGTGCTTTTATCCGATGACGATGAGGATTTGGCCGTATTTCGTGCCGTGGAAGAGGGGCAAACGTTAAGATGGAGTGGTTTTAATGCATGCGATGTAAAGACAAGCATATCTGCTGAAATCTCCCTTGCATTTCACACTCGACGGAATTGCACGCGCAGGTTCATCGACATTGATGATACGTGGGCTGCTGGCGGGACTGAAGCCTTGTACTGTCGCTCCTTTTCTTTTTTTTTTCCTCCCCGAACTGGATCTGTCTAGCACGACACTGCTGAGATGAACCCGGTGAATGCGACCACTCTCTACGTGTCAGCTTGTCGGTCGGTGCTGCAGTGCGATCCCCGGGACCCCCAGGCTTTGGCGGAAATCTATAAGCTCTTGCCTTTTTTCAGACAGTCTCTCGCCTGCCTTGTGTGTGGTGAGAGCCCGTTTATTCTGCTTCATCACTGCACGCTTGCATGATCACTTCTGCTTTATCGCTGCATGCTTTATAGCTGCTCTCGAAGCCCCACCGACCATGACACACCCCCACTGAGTCCACAAATTCCTGACCTACAATGACAACTGGAGCCTGGGCATTTAGACACACATCAGTGCATACAGGCTGTGTGTTTATAGTTGCATGGTGGTTGAATAGTAATGCCTTGCCTGCTCAGTCAGATAAAACTGGCTGCTTGAAACAATTCAGATTTTCCAACATTTTAGATTCCTTCTTCACAGGGTTTAAATATTATAAATATATATATTTTTTTGTGTGTGTTATTTTTGTAATATTTCCTGGCGTGCATATCATTATTTATAATTTATAATAATTTTGTATACTTTATTAGCTACAAATGCACTTTGTAATTGCAAATAACAAATTGATTGTAGTCCAAAATTCATTGGTCAAAAGGTGTGGAACCCTGTTTGTAGTAATGCTTTATTTGGAATGAGTAGGCAATTCATTGCTTTTTTTTTTTTTTTTTTTTTTTTAATACAGCTGTTGATAGTCCATGCATATTTTTTAATTAATACAAATATCAATCAATTACTTTTTTTCAAGCAATTCATGTTTACATGATGTGCTTGCGTTTATAAAAACAATGCATTTGTATTATTTGCCTTTGAGACCCCAGTTAACCATATGCTGAGCATGTAATATGAACCACATCATGCAACATCACATGACCCTTTAACATCAGCACATATGTGGGGCTTCTCTTGAATGTTACAAAACCATATCTAATTAGATACAATATATGCTTGTATTATGTTGCTCATGATCTACAAAACTAATTACAGATCAAACTGATCATTTTAAAGGTACAACATCCAAGCAGCCTATTTAGGCTGTGATTTGAGTAGTTCGCATATTGATGTGTTATCAAGTACCTGTTATGTTGTTTCATGGTCTAAACATATTTTCTTTCTTTATTCAGGCAATTTGCTACAAAATCCAATCGCTCCTACCAATTCGTCGTGCCAGCACTATGTCTGTAAATCATGTAAAGGCAAAAAGATGATGATGAAACCGTCGTGCAGCTGGTGTAAAGACTATGAGCAGTTTGAAGAGAATAAGCAGCTGTGCATCTTGGTGGACTGCTACAGAAAGCTCTGCGAGTACATCGCAGATTCTCCTCTCGCCCAGCACATTTCAAGTACTGTGGAAGGTTCCCCAGACATCCTGGCTCTGTTGAATGAGGGCCTCTCATTGGACAACCGGCAGGAGGAGGAGGAGGAGGAGTCACTCTCCCTGAGCTTCACTAACCAGTCCCCAACACCCTCAACCTCAGAAATGCTCCCTGACGAGGTCCAGTCCCCTTCGACAGAGATCAAGGAGCAAGGCCTTAGTCCTTTAGGGGTGAATGGTCTCCAGGACTGCAATGGCTTGACCAACGTGGAGGAATTGACCGCCAGTTTACCTTCACTAGAGGCCAGTGTTCCAGACTCGGTGGAGAGTGGGAGCGACCTAGTGAAACAAGAGAGTTTCACAAATGAGATCCCAGTGTGTGAGGCAGTGGCAGCTGCTGGCGAGGAGCTTTGTACCAGCACCATGGACATTTGTGGCTTTGGCGAGGATATTAAGCATGATGGCGGGACTCTCCTTTTGAGTGTAGAGGAAGTGCTCAGGACTCTAGAACCAGACCACGTCACCCAGGATGAGTGTCCTGCTATCTTGCAGTCGGCTCTTGATCCTTCGGGGAACTTAAATGGACCTTTTGCCTCGGTTGACTCTGCCCGACAACTCTCCTCGCTCCCACAGGAAGTTCTCTTGCCCCAACACCTGACGTCCCAGAAGAATCCGCAACATTTGGGAATATCTTGTTCCGCCGTGACACCAAGAATGCCACGGTCCAACCGGAAACGCTCGCGGTCGGAAAGCGACAGCGAGAAGATTCAACCCCTACCCATTTCCACCTTCATCCGCGGCCCCACGTTGGGCGCTTCCGCCCCTGTTCCGGTCAAGTGCGAACCTAAATCTCCTGCTCTGACTATCCCTCACATGGCGGCGGTGCCCAACGGTGGCGGCCTTTCTAAGGTGGGCAAGACATTACTGGTGCCTGCTAAAACTGTCAAAAAGACCCTTGACCACCATGGACCCAAAAAGGCGTACACTAAGTCCAAACAGGGCACTCCAAAGTCGAAAGAGAAGACGAAAGAACGGATTCTGACTAACGCACTCATTCCTGGGAGCCCCACGAAAGTGGTGTACAAAAAAGCGCAAGAGAAAAAGGGCTGCAAGTGCGGCAGAGCAACTCAAAACCCAAGTGTTCTTACATGCCGTGGACAACGATGCCCCTGTTACTCCAACCGCAAAGCCTGTCTGGACTGCATATGCAGGGGCTGCCAGAACTCCTACATGGCCAATGGCGAAAAGAAGCTGGAGGCCTTTGCGGTGCCAGAGAAGGCGCTCGAGCAGACAAGACTTACTCTGGGCATTAATGTCACCAGCATTGCAGTGCGAAACGCCACAGGTAGCAGCACTGGCGGGATGCTTAACGTCTCCACGGCAGCTGGCTCACCTGTGGCCTCCTTCTTGGCTACGGGGCCGCACGAAGACAAAGGATTCGATGAACCGTTGGACATGAGGTTTGACTGAGTTCCAGATGATTCTCCTTTAACATCGCCCTGTATTCCAAACCGACTTGCTTTCAGTGTGGCGGCACTCTGCCGAGGGGCTGATGTAGAGTCAGCGATAAGGCAGCTACTGTGATTCTGTTCCAGTTCACATTATCAATTAAACTAGTTATTGCTGAAGCTTGTGCCTTTAAATCATTTGTACTATTCTTTTTGATTTTCTTGCACACCTTTAGAGGAGCGTTGAGACTGGATAACAGAAGTCGAAAGTTTCTTTTGGTAAAGGTTTTTCTTTCCATTTCAGTACAAGTGATCTATAAGGCATGATCTTTGGCAAGATATACCTGACCTCATTGTTGTGGGTCACGTTATGTGCATATGTGGAAGATTTTCAGTTTGTAGGTTAGGGGATGAGACCTGTTAAATGAATGGTACCCTACAGCATCAGTAGAGACTGGTTGTATTTATAAACAGTTTTTGTACACAGACTTAAGGAATACAATTTAAAAAAAGTACATTTTATGATATATTTTGTAAGTTACATTAACAACATTTGCAGTATTTATTGGGTATCACTTAACATAGATTACGGTCCACCCAGGGCATCAGCTGGATACCATTTCTACAGATGCAAGTCACACAGATGCAGTATGTACGGTTTTTCTGTCTAAATTATGTTGTTGTCCTGATTGTGCTAGTTTTTTGCTGTCTCCAAACTGTTATTTTTTTTCCCTTGGGGCATTTAAATACCTGTAATATAAATGTAACATATTTCCACAAAAAAGAAAAAACCTAACACGACTCATGTTTTTCATTTCAAAAATCACTCTATCAAAGTAATTGCATAGGTTTTTTTCCCCTGAAGGTGATTTTATAAATCATCTTGACAAGTTTAGAAAGGGGCTTTGAATGATAAATGTATTAATTAGTGTGACTGTTTATATCTAAACATGAATGTGAATAGAATAAGCTCAACACAGCTGCACAGACATGTGATGTTAAACAAAGGGTGCTGCAAACAATTACAAGATTGTATTACAATCCCAAGTCTTTGCAATGAAACATATGTTGTCCATATGCGAGTAAGTAACTTATACAGCTGTTCATGAATGAACTGTATATTGTTTTTCCTGACCAAGTCAACCAGAAGTCATATGAAGGTGGGTATAGTTTGGAGAAGGCATTGTTTTGTTAGCTTGCAGCTGGAAGATCCACACTATTTCTTCTTTACTAGTGCAAAAATCATTTTACAGGGGCTAAGCATACAATTTTAATGTGGCGTGTCATTCATATTCCAGCTCAGGAAAAATATTGCTTAGGTTCATTCAGCCACGGTAAAATCCATATATAGGCTATTGTTTGTTTTCAACTGGTGTGGCATCTTGACTACGGTACCTTTGAACAATCTATATTGCACCTGAAACATTAGAGGTTAAAATATATAACTGTTAATCATTCATGTTCCAAAGAGCACTAGATGGGTAACTGGAATGCCCTCAATGGTCTAATCAAGCAAACTGGGGTGCAGTAATGCACTGGATCTCTGCCCAGTAATTGTAATTACGAACATTTACCACAAGTAGGCAGAATACAAAAAAAAAACATTTGCTATTGTGATCAAATGTACCTTGTGTATCTCAATAATTTGCATATTCATGACCTCTTTGTTCATGGGAAATGGTTGTAGTAAATCTGATGACATTTTCTATAAAACATTTTATTCATTCTGCAATAACAACAAACTGTTTTTGGAGGGAAAAAATGGCCCAAGAAAATTTAATAGCTCCAGTGGATAGTGGCAAATATTTAGTTGGAAATATTTGAGATATAACAATAATCACCTTATATATAATGAAAATATGTACTGTTTTATACCAATATTTTGTAACGTGTTTGTGCGCACACACATAAAATATTTTTTTTGTATATCACCACAAACTTACAAAATTGAAGTAATACAGTTGCATGGTCTTGAAATTAATAATATATAATAATAATAAAATGAATCATCCAATGATTGTTTTTTTTTATGTATACTGTGCATATTTAATATGAAAGATTATGGCCTGGATAAGAAAAAATATCCAGAAGGGGAGAACACAGTGTACTGTAACGTACATAGTTACTGTTTAACTGACAGTCTGTTTCAGATTAAATGTTACAAAAAGAATAAAACCGAAACACTAAAAAGACCATACTAAAATGCAGAAGGGTGAAAAGACTCGAGTGTCTTCTCAGATGTCTATACATTCCACAGTGTATGTTCAGTGCTGGTAAATGTATATACAAAAGACAATATGTACAAGACAATTTACCATCACAGTGATTTTCACATTTAGCAAATGTAAGATTAATGCTTTAGGAAAGAATTATGGAATAAAAACAACTCCTTCACTCGCAAACTCATTCAAACACATTAATAGTGCTGAAACTGACAATCACAATATGTCAATAATACAATCAAGGCATGATTTGTAAAACGCAAAGATTGTGCAAGTCTCTCCGACCGCATTTCTACATCCCAATATCCAGTTTGTCTTTTAAACATTTGAAAAAGGCAATGCAGTCACATGTCCAAGGAGGACAGAAGCACACAGTAAAAGCCTGCAGCTCCTCCGCAGGCGCAAAAGTCTCGCTTAAAGTCGCACCTTCTTTTTCCTGCCCGGACAGACGCACCGTCCAAACGACTCGCTTCCAAAACGACCTGGCAAGCCCCTCGCTTTCCGTCGCCCCTCCAGGCAGACGTGCTGGGATAGAGCTCCAACGCATTTCACCAATGAACTGATTTACGATCAGATCCGCTGGCCGAATGTTAAAAAAGCGCCAAATATTTGCACCTTTCCATGCTCTCATCAATCATTGTTAACTGTTTTGGCAAGAGACGGAGCATCTCGGCAAGAGCGTCCAAATGCTTTAAGGCACTTGGCATCTGTTCAAAAAAACCTCAGGTAGGAATACCGAGCAAGCCGAGTCCTGTCGCTCATCTGGGAGTTCAAAACAAACCGTGAGGTGCGATTTTTCAGGCTGTGTATCACTAGCTGACCAAAAACGCTCCGAAGAAGCTGGACTTCTCGTCCATGTCGATGGTGCTTACATTGCTGACCGTCACAAACACCCGGTCTCCTCCTCCGAGCTGAAAAAGCCCCGCTTGGTAGATGGAATACAGGCCGTATTCGGTGTCACGTGACCAGCACGTCGTCCGGGCGTTTTTCATCAGCAGTATGGGCACCGGATACGAGCTTACTTTTTTATAAACGTACTGCAACATCGGTTTCCCCCGGACCGATTCGCCCGATGTGCCGTCCTCTTCCTCGCGGTCACTTTGCTCTTCCTCGATGAGCGAGTGTCTGAAGTAAGTTTGGGAGTAGATGTAATAGAGGCCGGCCTGTGGCACCACCAATTCTCCGTCACTCAACTCCACGTTCTGGAGGAAAGCCAGACCTTTTTCGGACTCCCACGACTGGATCTTCTGGCCGTAAACCTTCCTGTTCGGTAGACCTGCATTGTCAAGCCAGAGAGAAGGATTATGGGTCGGGGGTTTGACAGAAAAGCTGCATTGTTTCGCCGTTTGGCAGGGCGAATGGAACGGGGTGCTTGTTTCAAATACTCGGCTCAAGTTATAAACCAGCTTTTTGTTTCAGGCAAATGGCCACAGAGATATGATGAAACTGTGTTTGTTTTTTTTAAAGACGTGAGCTCTGACCTACATAAAAGGTTTTATGAGCTTCCTTTCTGGGAAGCTATCATGAAAAGAATGTTTATTTGCAGGGATGCAACATTGTTCGTGAAATGTTTGCATAGCGTAGTTGTTTTCTATCTGATCTGGATGTCATCCAGTCAGTCTCCATGTACTTTTAAGGTGAATGTGGACTATGACCCAGAGATAAACAAGCTTTAATCAGCTGCAGTCGTTGTTGTAATAATTCAGCACGTATACAGAAACTGAAAAGAGTTGCAACAAACCTAAATCAAGTGTTTGCTAGAACAAGACATACCTCCTCCATCTTTCTCTGCTTCTGGTGTATAGCTTCCAGTCACATGCGCAGCGATCTTAGGCCGAGGAGGATCATCTTGATCTTGGATCACCAATGAGGGAAGTACACGCGAGACTTCATCTGTAAAAAATCCCAACGGTTAATTCACTCGTAGCTTATGCCTTCACATAAACTTAATCTGAGTGTGCTCTGAAATACCTTTGACGGCGGATGAGATTTCTTTCTGATAACGGCTGGACATTGACTGTTAAAAAAAATAAAGAGAGAAAAAAAATAATTAGCCTACATTGGGAAAAACAAAGATTACATTTCTTGTTTCACAAAGAGAGTTGTGAATGGACCAATTCTTCAGCATAACTTCTGAAAATTGGGTTTCATCTTACAAAAATTAAGGAAATTCCTGTATTAATTAAAAAAGGGAAAACGATCCAAGTCATAAATGGACTCATTGTCTACACGCTATAGCTTTATGACTGCATGGGCCTCCTCTGAAGCGGATACCTTTTCAATCAGAAAGTGTAGCTGTTGCGTGACCTGCCAGCAGGGGTCGTCTTTCCCCTCCGCCGCGTTCAGCTCCTGACCCTTTATCGTCCTGAGATTGGCGCGCATCAGACACGACACGCTGCTCTTGGAGAAGGTTTCTTTCATCTGTGAATAAAACATGTTTTAATACCTAGGATTTTAACAACTAAATATTCAGCGTGGTGACCAATTACAAAAGCTGCTCATGTCCCAATTAAGCATTTAGCATATGCATGAAATATGTAAGCTTTGTTTTGCATAAATAAAATGCAAACATGATATTATATGTAGCCTAGTTGTTTTTATTTGAATCAGGCAAAATATCAATTTTATAAAATAGCCTATACTTTAATGCGAGTTTAATGATCTTATTATACAATGCCAAATTATATTTGCTTATCTTTATTTACATAATTATTGATCATTTTGCATCCATAAATAGCAAATATTTTCAAGCATACAAAGAAATAACTAATAATAGATAGGCCTATATATATATATATATATATAAATTAAATCGTATCATCGTATACAAATTATAAAAAATAAGATCTAATATTTTAAAAAGACAAAATATTTTGCATGCATAAAATGCAAAATGAAGCCATTTCCTATGCTATTTGTTTTATCTATCCATTCTATAAAATAACAATTTCATGAAATTATATTATCTTTTCTAGTGCACACACTGTAAAAAAAATATTGTTGGTTTAACTTAAAAAAGTAAGTAACCTAGTAGCATAAAACTCTGAGTTAATACAATGAAGGAGATTGGTTTAATCAACAGAAACTCAAAATATTATGTCATCTGAACCACATGAATTATCTAAGTTCATTTGACAAAAGAAAAAATGTTGTGGTAAATCATGAAAATATTTTAGTGTAAATGAATATCTGTGCTTATTTTTATTTATTATACAATAATAATGATTAAAAGTTATATGTTGCAAGCATAAAATGCTAACTTTTCCCCTCAAAAGAGACTTTTTTAAATGATAAACTGTAGGCTACATTGCCATTGAGTGTCGTCTGCTGTTGCTTAACTTGTACTTTAGGCTCCACTGAGCGACCTGTTGGCAGCTGTCCACTAAACAAAATGCAGGCAGAAACCTCAGCAAACGAACCGAGAACGGCTGCAAACAGCATTCGTTCTCTCTAAAGTCTTCTATTTACTGCATTTCAATGTCGCAACATGCACAACGAGGCGGCCAGACAAACTTTGCACAGTTCTGAGGTAACGTGCAAGAAAACGCAGAAGGTACACGGCCCTTACCGTCGATAAGACGTTGCTGAAGTATATGAACGTTACAGCCACTGCTATTGTTTGAAGGAGAATTGCAGCCAGCAGCAGAAGTCCGATATACTGCATGGTGTGTGAGCTTGTCATGCTGACCATTGCGTGTGTTCCTGCAGCTCGAGACAAAAGCTGAGGCAGAATTCCTTCTCTTCATATGAAAAGGCATGGAGGCGGGGCAGCGCTTGACTATCAAGGAAACGAAGTGCAAGATTTACTTTCCTGTAAAGATGATCTATGTAAGAACCTCTTTCGTTTTTGCTTGATCAGTGCAATCACTTTATGATATAATTACTGCCGAAAGACACATGTCAAGCATAAAATTTGTCTAAATTGATCCTATAACCGTGCTTGCCCTGCTGGAAAATTCAGTTTAAAGGAACACTTCACTCAAAAATTAAATTCTGTTATAATTTACTCCCTCAGGTTTTCCCAAACCCTATAGGGGCTTCTTCCATGAAACACAAATGAAGATCTTAATCACCGCTCACTTGTATTGTGCATCAAAATATCTGTGTTTGGGAACAGATTTTTTTTTTTTACATTGTTTTAACTCATCAAAATAGGTTAAGCAATTTGCAACTTTTGTAGAAGTTATACAAGGTGTATGTTTAATGTAATTTTAGTTTAAATGACTTAAAAATTTAAGGTAGCAACTTTTTTTTACAGTATACTGTATCATATTTGATACATGAATTTTTAAGGCCTCTAAATAATCAACAAGCTCAAAATGTTGATGTGCACAGTGAGTCCTACATACCTTTGCTCTTTGTTTGACAGTTCAAACATGTCATTTTAGTATAATTGAAAAAAAAAAGAAGAAAAAAGTCTGTAGTGTCAAAGTCCTTTTTGCTGTGAAATCTTTCATGTTTTTATAAAGTACGAGTAAGAATAATGGTAATAATATTTCAAGATGAACATTTACTGGCCTGAAGCAACATGTGTTTAGAAATGTTGTGGTAAAACAGACTTTTGAGGAATGTTTATTTGTACATCTCTCAATCGAAATTGTATTGCATTGCAATTATAGCCTATATCTTTGTCCCCCAAAATGAAACTACAGAGCTTTGATTGTAAACATTTAAATGTCATTACTTACTAAGACATATTATTTGGAGATACCGAGTTTCAACTGATAATTATATGCATTTTTATGTAAGTAGTCTGCTGTTGTAACGACATCTCATTGATTTACATTACAAGCTTACATTACATTACCAGACGAAAGATGACCAGTCGTTGCGATTTTTGTGATCGCGGCTCCTAAGCAAGCGGTGGTCCTACGTTGTACAGTGAGAGAGGTTCAAAGACGGTCGTTGTCGCTGTATTGCGACCAAAGAAAGCCTGCGACCAATTTTTTCTGACAGTCATAAATTTAGCATGATCATCTCGCAGTGTGTTTGCTGCTATGACATCTACTGACTAGCCAATAAAAATGCAACATGAAATGGCGTATTGATCAATGCGACATGGCGCTAAAACTTAAAACTACTTATCTCAAGCTCCATTTACATAAATTGGCATGCCAAGTTGGTCTCTTTTCCCTAGCCATGCATGACCACGTCCATATTCTTCTCTTTAGCTTCCTCCTCTTTTTTTTCAGCGCACATAAAAACCACAATTGCCAAAGTGCAATCCTGCTCTATGTTGACCACTAGCACATGCCGATGACGTTTTATTCTTCTATACTAACTTGTGTCGTAGCCTACGATTCAATAAGTGTCAACATCGTACAGTCTACATACATGTCGTACCAAAGTTTATTAGATGTCGTAGAGTGTGATTTGTAAGGATCTTATATTGCTGAAATCGCACAGACTGTAGCAGGCATGAGTTGATCATCATCACTGGCTGCTCCAAGTCGGCTATTAGTTTGTCTAAATTGGAAGAACATCTTGAACTAGAACTTGAACTAATGTCCAACTTGCATCAGCTAATGACCAGGTTGGACCAGCTAGAAACAGGCTACCAAGTTCCAAAACACAGATACCAGGTTAAACTGGATTTTCCAACAGGATTTAAATTAATTTGTTTTGTTTTTTTAATAAACTGATGTATTTTCATTTAAAAACATGTTTATTTTCGTTCAGATTCATGTTTTGTTCTATTGTAACTTTGCCCTGTTTTTGTTCAAGAAAACATGACCAATTCTGACTGTATTTGATTTCTAACATGTGGTTACAATCTGGTCCTATTTAGAAAGTCTAGGGGGTATTCCATGTATTGTGCTTCTCAAAGGCCGGCCATTTCTTGCTGCCATCTGATTTAAAGAGCTATTCTGTTACTCAGCTTCAGTTGACAGGTTTTGGTGGGCCCCTTTAAAACAAAGTCGATTCTAAACTTCAGCATCTAAAAAGTAAAATCGATGTTTTCTTCCTGTTGTCCAACCATGTCTAACTCTTATACACGCTAGTTTTCTCATGACAAAGTTATTTGCTCATGACATTCCAGGTGCTCCGTAACACAGTGTTTATGCTCCAATCCCAAGCCAACGAAACAATTTTCCAAAGTACATGAATAAACTCAAAACAGTGCTGCTTTTGTGCCGTCCACAAGTAATCATTAAGTTTAAAGACATAATAAATAACGAATAACACTTTTAAAGGCGCTACTGTTTCCAGCGAAGTGTATTTACTTGTTAACCTGGAGGTTCTTGCATGTTCTCTCACATTACCATTTATAGATGCTTTTAAAACGACTCCCAATGCGAGTTCATAGCAGAGCAGGATAGGAGCCTTTTGAAGCTCCATCCCGCTCCGCAAGCGTCAGCAAAGTTACCCAATATTGCTTTTTTCATGGACTTGTTTGTGCCAGATGTGTCACGCTGAGATTAGATCAGCTTCTATAATCAACAGCAGATGAACGGAGGTGACCAAACAGGCTTCAGTGATCGTCTGGGACAATGACTGTGACTTCCTCCTAAAAAAGTAAAGCTCAGCAGAAAATGGAGGGCGTGCTTCTTTATAAAGGATCATTGGTGCTCTTTAATAGGTTTATTGTGAAGACAAAGTCTGAATGATAATACAGTCAAACAATACTTGTTGTGGTGATTGTTCAGGCTGATTCGCAGCTCCAGAGTCAAAGCTAGAGATTAAGCAGCTTAATAAAAAGTCCTTGCATGTAGAACAATTGGCATGAACCTTGTTCTTAATTCAAATATTTCTTATTGTTTCCACACCCATTCTCTTTCGCTGATTCTTTCGCTCTATCTCTGTCAGCCAGCTGTGTTCGACTGGTCTCTGAAGGCCACGGTGTTGACATGTCCTGCTCTGAATCGCAGGCAACCTAAACAATGCAACAAGCGGCACTGTGGATCTGAGCATATCTGGCACAGACATGGTGGAAGGGAGGAGGAGGAACACAAAGAAAAGGAGAAAAAAGAAACAGAGCGGCAGGCGACCAGTGGACGGGCCGGAAACTTGGGATTTTCCAGCAGAAGCGAATGCAAAGTGTAGATTTGGCTGGGTTTGTTTTAGCTGACGCCAGGAAAAGCTGCAGCCAAAGAGTGACAAACTCATCCCTTATGGTGACCCTGCCACATTTATACATAAGCAGAATGATCTGAGGATGTCTTTTATGAGTGTGTGTGTGTCTGTGGGTGGTGTTGGTGTGGGAGGTAGTGCAGGGAGATTCTTCTGCCCATGAAACATGACTGTAGTCTGGCGCCATGATTGACCGATGTCCTGCACCGGAGAGAAAATCCTCCCCCACTGACTCCCTTTTTCTTGGAGCTGAATGTTAAAGCAACCCCTGAACACACAGGAACGCTCTTTCTCTCAGTATAAACTATCACACTTGCAGTTTTCAGCAGGAGAAACAAATCCCAGACTATATCTAGGGAGCAAATAAGACTTGGGGTGGGATTTTTAACTTGGGCCAGTAAGCAACAAACTAGCTATGTATTAGCAATGGTCTAGCAACAACCTAGAACACATAGCAACACCCTGGTTACAATTCACACAACAGCCTATCATAGTGGTTGTGAATTTACATGGGAAAGCACTGTATATACTTTTGAATGTAATTCTCCATGAAAACCCTCAGGACTGTTTCATATCAGCCTTAGGTTCATTGCAGTTACATAGAGCTGAACTGGGATATCATTGCGTTACTATGTGCTTTTCCAAACTGATAGCTAGCTAAAGTGAGACCTAACTATAGGACCTTAGGGTTGGTTTTCCATCCTCAGGGGTTTTTAAACGAAGCCGCAGGGGCTGTAAAGACTTGACAGGCCGCTGATGAATGTGTGATCATATCCGTTGCGAAGAACATAGGGGGGGTCACGGAGAGTTACGGGGCCTTGATTCAATGCTCCATTGCACTTGGGGAATCAGGAATTTGGCTAGAGAAAAGGCCCCCAATTTTGGGGGGCCCCACTTTATCATCTGAAAAAAAAATTACTGTTAGTGTCAAATGCTCAAAAATGGAAAACAGAGCAGGAGGAAATGAAGAAGGGTTGAAAGAGTAAAATAGTTTGTGGGGGCTATTACGTCATGGGGGGGGGGGGCTAAAATTACGCTCTGACATGCCTAAGCCATGCAATCAAAGTGCCAAGAGACTTATAGGCCGGGATACAAGGCCGTATTGTGCTTCTCTGTGACATCACTCCTGAGTAAGAGGGAAGGGAGACAGGGAGATTCCCAGTTTTCCCTCCGGGGTGAAAAAGGCAGAGCTATATGTTGATTGCCACTTTGCCATGTGGGAGGATTGTCCTGAGGGGTGGCCTGTCCTCTCTCCATCCATAGCCATTACAACTTAAATTAATGCATGCTATTCTAAGGGTACGTTTACACGTCAATGATGTACTAGTCTCGCGTAGCCAGACCTTCAGACTGACGGCTGAAGGTCTGGAACTCATAGCAGCTTTCTTTGGCCAAGGCCCGCCCATAAGGCCGTTTGACCGACATGTCAAACAACCAATTACAGTTCGTTTCGTTCAGCGTCACGTTTCGGTGCGTGGAAATGTCCCCACAACAACAGACCGGCGTGCAACAAGTCAGTCAGCATAGAAAATCAAAGAAGGAGAAGAAAACTTCAAGAGTCTATGCCGTGAACCTCGCATACTTTTGAGAATCCTACGTTCAGCTGATCTTGATAAATGCTCATTGTCACTCATGTAAACACAACAGTTTTTCTTCCGCAATCACACGTCTGCGCTTTG